GCTTGAAGTTTAAGAATATGTATAGCAACATCATGTCCTAGTACAGATCATTATGTCACTGGGTTCTGTCACTAGTTAGCTAACATAAGCTAATGGAAGTCTATTTGTCACAACCAAACAGACAACTTACTGATGTAATATTCTGTACTGGCACAAGTTGGTGCTAATCAGAAACTTTAACTGTAAGCACTTATTTCTTCAATCCAGACTGACAGACAGTGTTAAATCTATGCCAGTTTTTGAGAGCAGGGCTCCATGATGTAAGATGTAGACTTTAGGCATGTATTGTTTCATGTGCACTTTAAAACACTGGTTCAAAAACTGTGGGTCATAATATGCTGGAAGCCATTGCTGTAAAACCATGGATCCCACCAGGGTGGGTGAGGGGTTTGGGACTGGGGTGAAATGAAGGTGAACTGATATGTTTTTGTATGTTTGTTTGTTTGTTGATTAAATGTAAATTTCAACAAAATAATTGAAAACCTGACTATGTGTAAATGCTGTGGTAATGCTATGTGTAACAATTTCAAATTGAATTTTGTTTTTGAATTGTTGTTATTATTTTGTGTTACATTACTGATTTTTATCTAATCTATTTCACTGTTTTCTGCAACATATTGAAAAAAGGATCCCTTACTTTCATTTATGCTTCTACAGAAAGGTACCAGCATTATTTTGTTTGTATATGTGATACTGTATCACCCAAACAAAAGAACAGGCATTACTCACAGATCTCAGTTAAAACTCAGTCAAAGCATGCCACAGGAGCTCACTGTTCTCACAGCTGGCCCAGAATACTAAGCTACTTACCACTGAACTGTAAATCATTAAACAAAAGGCACCAAACTCAGGGGATAAGCCGGTGTTGTGTCTACAAGTAATGGAAGGCTTAGCAAAGAACCACTTTTAAATGATATCCTCACAAATGCATTCACATGACCAGTTAATCATTCTTACAGCCTTCTTCTGTTTCACACCCAACTCCAATTTAAAAACAACAAACAAAATGTGTTTAGGACTTTATAAGTATCACAAACAGACGGGTGAATGGGGATGATGAAATTGGTACTGTGAGATTATTACACTGTCTTATGTTACATTATACCTCTAATCAAAGAGTTGTTGAATCATCGTATGACTATAGGCCACATTATACCTCTGAATTAAGCTTATGAAAGCATTATAGTTTTAGGTTGCATTATACTCCTGAGTTAGAAGAAGGTGAAAATATTAGATTTATTTGACTGATTTGTATTACATTATACTGCTGATTTACTGTGAACGAGTTACACTGTTTTATGGTCCTTCATGTTGCTGATTTATTCTGATCTATAAAGAGAATACTGTTTGCAGAGAATCATGGCCTTGTTTTTCTGATTGTAGAAAGAACAGAGCGTACTGTACGGGAGCTTCTCCCCCACATTAGCCAGGAGCAGAAAAACAGGGAGCCAAGGTTCTAACTTAGTCTCAGTGAGAGATAGAAAGAATGTGGATATTTAGGTTTTATGCAAAGGCTATAAGAGTTTGAGTAACGGTCCGACATTTTGAGATCTGCTGTGACCCTCTCTGTGCACATCTCCCATCCGGATGATTGTATTGCTCATTGTGTTTGTATGGAATAATAAGAGTGCATTGATTAAAGTGATTGTTAATTGAGCATTTAAAATATCAGTGTTGTTCTTCCTTCAGCCCAAAGATCAAAGAATTGGGGTAATTTAACAGTACAAGTAGGAAATAATATAACCATCTCTTTCAATAATTTTCCATTATTTTTGCATTAAGTATTAAAGTTAATAAAGCAATAAAATATATTGTTAACCATGTGAGAGAAGCAGATATTACAAAGAGGAATAGACTGAATCAAAGCTTTGAGGATGGAATCTCATCTATGGATTAATACTGCCCTCTAGTGGACACAAGCGCAAAGAGCACAACAATCCTTTATTAAACCTCTGGGGTCCGTATGTGGTTAAAACTGTATATTAAGCTGTTTCTGATAACTTTTGAGTTTACCTTTATATTTCAACTTTAAAAACTGTTTAACTTGAGTTGGTATCATTTTTACAGCTTCATGTGTCTGCTTGCACAGTTAATTTTTTTTTTAAATTTTGACACATTATATTAATACACTAGAACTAAAATCACCCCCCCCCCCACACACACACACACACACACAAAAAGTAGAAAAAAGTTTTTTTTTCTCTGAAAACCACAAACATGTTTAACAAATCATTTTCATAGTCTGAAACATAAGTTGTAAATTAGAAAAAAATATCGGGTGTTTTTTTTTGTATGTCTCTTAAATCATTTAAAATGTTTCTGTCCACCTTTTTGGACAGTGTCTGTGCTGGTGACAGTTGGAACAGGAAGGCACAAACAAGACACAAAAGATAACTGTTTGCCTTTCCTAGACTGCACTGTGCACATTGAGGAGAATGGCAACCTCAACACTGAAGTTTACTGGAAGCCCACACACACGGACCAGTACCTCCTCTTTGGCTCCCATCACCCTCTGCAACACAAACTTGGAGTAATTAGGACCCTACACCACCGGGCAGAACATGTTCCCTCTAAGCCTGAAGGGAAAAAGAAGGAACAAACACATGTAAAGGAAGCACTTAAAACATGCGGTTATCCTTATTGGGCATTTATAAAGTCAACAAAGAGGCACAGAACAGAAGATCAGACACCAGCGAGGGAGGATAACAAAGACAGAAGCAACAACATTGTCATCCCCTATGTAGCCGGTGTATCAGAGAAACTCAGGGGAGTTTTCTCCAAGCACGACATCCCAGTGCATTTCAGACCCAGCAACACACTCAAACAAAAACTGGTTCACCCGAAAGACAAAACTCCAAAACACAAACTAAACAATGTGGTGTATGCTGTACAGTGTAGCGAGGAATGCCCAGACCTCTACATTGGAGAGACCAAACAGCCACTTCATGTGCGCATGGCACAACATAGAAGAGCCACCTCCACAGGACAAGACTCAGCAGTCCATCTGCATCTAAAGGATAAAGGTCACTCCTTCGAGGATGCCAATGTTTACATTTTGGGCAGAGAAGACAGATGGTTTGAAAGAGGAGTGAAAGAAGCCATTTATTTACTGTGAGCAAACATCTTTGAACAGAGGCGGTGGCTTACGACACTGACTGTCTGCCATCTATAATCCAATTTTGAGATCCCTTTCCAGCAGCCTTAACGCCCACTCACACCCTGGGCCATCTGACCTCAGGAAATCACATGATAGGGTGGGGCTAGGTTTCACAATGAGCTCACCCGAAACCCTGGCTGATTGTGACCCACACCCGTTTTCACACCTTGGCTCATGTGATTAGGTAGAGGATCATCAGGGGGTCATTTGTCTGTCTTTGGGGGGAAACTCTCACTTGGGTTAAATCTGGGATTCTCCACAATTTGACCCTTAGAAATGAAGAAGCTTCTCGGATGAGAGGTGAAACGTCTTCAAGCAACTTAAAGAAGTCCAGATGCTTTTCTTTCCAAGCTCCTTAGATTTGGAACAACACAACATACAACTTAGTTCCCAGATTCGCTTTGTCCATGGTTTATTTCTGGGATTTCACACAACCCAAGATTCAAATCATGAATTTACAACATTATGAATGAAATGTGCTCTATTTGGAAGCAGCCGCCCCCCTCCCCTTTCGACAGGTTGTGTGAGAGACTGTAAATCATCAAACTGTAAATTATCAATTTTATATTGTTATTGATTCCTTTACTTTACCCCTAGTCCTAAATTAACATAAAACTGTTGTCAGAACCATACTGAATTTCGCCAGAGACACACACACACACATATGAAGAGAAAGAGAGTATGCATTGTATGCAAATGGCTATAAACAGCCATCATAATTTGTCATACAATGAGAACAGGACAAATCAACAATTAACAATGACTAATTAATATTAAAAGCTGTAACATAATGTATTGTTTGCAGTTTAGTCTGTTACTGTTACTATTTTTACCATTTCTTTTTGGAGCAACTGTAACC